CTTTGGCCTCACAGCAGAAACAAGATAGCAGGTCTTTCTTCATGCCAGAACACTTTAAGGAGAAGGAATGAAGCTTACATCTTCTGACCTTAGTCAATTGTCATCAATACCCCTGTACTCACTGTTTCCAGCAATTTTTGAGGCCAAGCTAGGAGGATCACTTGAGCCCAGATATTCAAGACCAGCCTGGGCAACACAGCAAGACTCTGTCTCTACAAAAAAATTAAAAATTAGCCAGGTGTGATGGTGTACACCTGTAGTCCTACCTACTTGGGGTACTGGGCAGGAAGATCACTTGACCTCAGGAGTCCAAGGTTACAGTGAGCCAAGATCGCACCACTGTATTTACTCCAGCCTAAGCAACAGTGAGACTCTGTCTTAAAAAAAAAAAAAAAAAAAAAAAAAAAAAAGAAAATCTGTCTTAAAAAAAAAAAAAAAAAAAAAAAGGAAAAAAAAAAAGAATCTCTTGCTTTTTCCCCCCTCCTTCTAATCTTCTAATCTTCAATCTGTTCTTCCTTTCCAGAGTCAGAGACAGATCACAGATATATCTTATATTATGCATTTGATGTGTTACTGAAAAATTATGTGTGAATTCAAATTTGGCAAATTGAATCATATTTTAAAAGCCTATTTAAAGAAAGTCCATGGTAAATAATCTGTTTGAAAAAGTAAGCTTTCCTGTCAAAGAGGGAGGAGCCACACATGCATTTCTTCATTTTTATTTGTATACTGGGCACTTACCCTATACAAGGCTGTGTGCCAGGTACTCAGGAGACACAAATATACCCACAGCCCTCCTTTCCTCAAGAGTTTATCTTACTGCCTTAAGAGAGCCTGAAACAAATTATTTATTTTCAAGAAAAAGCTGAGAATAAGAAAAGATTTTACTATAATTTATCAGTTCTAAAATATACTTTTTCCACATTTTTAAACTTCTAGATTCAGGAGGTATGTTATAATTGATGGCATCCTCGCATGTTATCCTCCAGGCTGCAGTGGTAACAGAGCTGCCACTGCCTCTAGATGCAAGCTGCTCCCATTTGTTGACCCTTCAGTTATGTGCCATGCTGGAACTACATGTGTTGGTTAAACTGTTGTTTAAAATGTGTTCAGAAGGATTACAGTATGATATAGAATTCAAATTAAAAATGACTGTACACATAGAAAGGTACGGAAATGGCAAAGAGGCATGACTTTGTTATCAGTGGAGCAAACACTTCTCACTGGTGGAAGATCCCTAATTCTACATTTTCCTATAAAGCAAACACCATGCATTAAGTGATGAAAAGTCAGTGTGTTATACGTTGACAGTTTTTGTTTCCTTTGTGATATAAAAATAATGTTGTATCTGATAAAATATGATGACTTAGATTCAATGAAATACAGTAAGCATTGAGCCCCTACTCTGGGACAAGAAATGCACTAATGCACTAAGAGCCTTCTATATGTCAACTTACCTCTCACAGTAATGGTAGATATTATTCCGGTTTCACAAATAACCCCTTTCCCAGGCTCCATAGCTAGTGGATCTGCAAGAGTCGGGACAGGAACCCATGTGTCTGCTCTACTCTATCGCCAGCTAGGCAAATTCCTATGATGCCAGAACATTAGTCAGAGTTTGAAAGGTCAGTTCCTGCTACCCCACCCCTGTCCCCAGCCCTTACTCATTTCTTCCCACCCAGTGATGAGAACAAGATGCTAGAGTTTATCCCTCAGGCTAAGGACCAAATCAACCATCTGGCCTTGGGAGAGCCCTATCCTAACCATAACTAACTACCTTTTCTCTGCCTTTCAATTAGCACCTTCTAAGATATATAAACCTAAAATGCAGGCCAGGTCTCCAGTTTTCTGTGGCAGCCTAAGGCACAAGTCTTCTTTATTTTGGTCAAACAGTTGCAAAATTTAGTGCTCTACATTTCTTCTGACTTGATCCCCCAACTCTGCCATGTGTTTCCATTGTCAACTTCATAGCAACAGGCCCATGAGAAACAAGAGCGAAGCAATCACACAAAGTCCAGTGGACAGATTTACTCCATCATCCCCAGGTTCTGTGGGCTGATGGTAGTTAGTCTTTTAGCTTGGAAAGAGTATGACATGACAAGCTTGGGTATGTAAGTTAAAAAGCTGTACTGGATGTCATGAAAACTGGAAAGCTAAAGGTATCTTTAGTCATATGAAACTATCTCCAACTGATGCAGGACAGGCAAAGGAGGACATATTCAAAAGGAATAGAGAAAAATCTCAATTTTATAATTTTAACTTTACCTACCCATTCCTTGCATTCTACTAACTAGAATCAAATCCATGAAGTATGTTCTTATTCCAACTGGCACACCACCAATTTTAAAATAAGGGTAGAGGAGTGGTGAACAATCTCTTTGGGTTGGAAATCTCTTTTTCAAATTGACACAAGCAAGCAGGCTCTCAAGATTTCAGTTTAAAATAGAATCCAATTCTCCTACTAGATATGAAAGTAATGTCTAAACAACAACTATCTCACTGAACATCATATTAACCAAAACAAAACTGTTATAATACATGATTCCAACTGAGATTTCTTTGGGAAAATCAAATTGAAACCATAAATTAGTCTTTGGTTTGTTCGAATTACTACAATTTTCCATAGACACAGGGCCATACTAAATGAGGTTCACAGCCTAATCTGTAAACATTATGCATAAAGGTTTTCATGTACCACCAATATTAAATTAAAATTAAAGATTAACTCATATTATTACATTATGCTCATCTCTTCAAAAATTAATGATGAAAAACAATTTTTGATAATTTTATTAGTATGGATTCAATTAACATTGACTCATGTTTAGACTTCTCCTGATAGGACAATTGCTCACAACCGTATTTTTCCATTGATGCAAGAAATGGAGCTAGGTCAGGAGGCTGCTAAGATAGGAAGGCATGGGAATATGAGTCTGAAAGAACAGTCAGGAGAGAAGAAAGAGACCACAAATATGCGACTGGTGCCATGATTTCAAGTCTGAGCAAAAGATAGGAGAGTAAGAGCAATAAAAGAGATACGGTACACAGGAGAAAGGTGGCACAGGGTGGGGATGAAGAATAAAATGTTCTGTTGAACCTGATGAATCTGATATGCATACACAGCACTCACAGGGACATGTTCACCAGGAAGTCAGAAAGGACTGACAAGCACCTCAAAAGTCCAAGGTAGATACAGACATGGAAGCCAATCCGAGAGAGAACATGAGATCACCAGGAGTAACAAGAAATCAGCAGGAGAAAGCACGTCAGGGAGATGAAGAGAATTCACCAGAGGCCCAGTCCTGAGGCTGTTGGCAATGGGAGGACAGAGGAATAAGAATCTGTGAAGAAGGTCAAGATGGAATGGGTCAGAGAGGCAGGCAAACCAAGAGAGTTCTAGGATCTGTGCTACATGCAAAAAGAAAAGTCACCTGCATCAGAGAGTGCAAAAAGAGTAGGCAGAAAGCAGGACAAGAGGGCTACTGGACTGGGTGCTTTGTTAATGTGGTAGGGCAGAAACCAGTGCAGTAAGAAGGCCGGGCGCGGTGGCTCAAGTCTGTAATCCCAGCACTGTGGGAGGCCGAGGCGGGTGGATCACGAGGTCAAGAGATCGAGACCATCCTGGTCAACATGGTGAAACCCCGTCTCTACTAAAAATACAAAAAATTAGCTGGGCATGGTGGCACGTGCCTGTAATCCCAGCTACTCAGGAGGCTGAGGCAGGAGAATTGCCTGAACCCAGGAGGCGGAGGTTGCGGTGAGCCGAGATCGCGCCAAGGCACTCCAGCCTGGGTAACAAGAGCGAAACTCCGTCTCAAAAAAAAAAAAAAAAAAAAAAAAAAAAAAAAAAAAAAAAAAAAAAAAAAAGAAACCAGTGCAGTAAGAAATTAGAGAGAGAAAGGTAGGAAAGGAAGCCATTTTGTCCACTCTCCCGATAAAGCCTGAGGCTTTTTGAGAGGAAGGGATAGGACTGTAACTTGAGGAATAACATGAAAAAGGAATGAATCAGTATTATTTTTTCAACCAGAGGTATCACCACATAATGTAAAAAGGCTTCACGTACATCTGGCATAGGCAGGATTAAAGTCAGGAAATAGACAATAACCATTCTGCCTATTCAAATTCTCCATGTCCACCATTCCCCATCCCCTGCACACACATACACACACACACACACACACACACACACACACACACACACACTCTTAGTACTAAATGATAATGCCTTTATAATATAGATATAAAAAGAGGAGCTGTATTATACTGAAAGCATAGTTCAAGGACTGTCATAAACTATGTATTTGGAAATGCACCTTATAAGCGTTATGTCAACATTTAACTCAAGAGATTTTCAAAACGGCCTGCTACTTTTATGTCTTTTGAGACCTAAGTTTGGCACGATCATGGATCATTAGAAAAAAATATGTACCTATAAAAATATAATTAGCCATAGTTAATTCCGGAGTTGTACTCAAAATGTTAGTGGGCCAGGTGCAGTGGCTTATGCCTGTAATCCCAGCACTTTGAGAAGCCAAGGAGGGTGGATCGCTTGAGGCCAGAAGTTCAAGACCAACCTGGCCAACATGGCAAAACCCTGTCTCTAGTAAAAATACAAAAAATCAGCCAGGCGTGGTGGCACATGCATGTAATCTCAGCTACTTGGAAGCCTGAAGCATGAGAATAGCTTGAACCTGGGAGGCAGAAGTTGGAGTGAGCCGAGATTGCACCACTGCTCCAGCCGGGGGACAGAGGAAGACTCTGCCTAAAGTCAAAATTAAAAAAAAAAGTAAAAGAAAAAGAAAATGTTAGCAAAGCATTTACACTGTGATACTAAACAATCCTTAAAACCTCCCAAATACTGAAGATCTTTCCCACATCCATGCTTCTGTCTATACACCGTCATAGCACATGCTCTATGTTTACCTACAAATATTGCTTTTTATCATTAAGTGGTTGAAAAGGCTGAAGTTATGAAAAATGGTTATGAAAGCAGCAAATACCTGAGGTACTCACAGCTGTGGAGTAGGGATTATGAGCTCCAGTATTTTCAGCCCAGCAGCCACATCCATAAAGAGCAGCCTGGGGAAAAAGGAAAATGGATACAATATTTCAGAAATATCATATGTAATTATTAACTCTCAACAGAAATCATAGCTATCTAATAAAGCCTCGTTTAATAATGATTATAAGGAAGCTGGTTAACCCCATTTTACAGAGGTGGAAAGTGGAGCCTAAAGATGTTAAGTAACTTGTTCAAAGTAAGGGGAATGGTATGTGGGGAGGTGGGATTAGAAGAGAGGTTTACCAGCACTTTGGGAGGCCGAGGCGGGTGGATCACGAGGTCAAGAGATCGAGACCATCCTGGTCAACACGGTGAAACCCCGTCTCTACTAAAAATACAAAAAATCAGCTGGGCATGGTGGCGCGTGCCTGTAATCCCAGCTACTCAGGAGGCTGAGGCAGGAGAATTGCCTGAACCCAGGAGGCGGAGGTTGCGGTGAGCTGAGATCGCGCCATTGCACTCCAACCTGGGTAACAAGAGTGAAACTCCATCTCAAAAAAAAAAAAAAGAGGTTTACCTGAATCAAAGGTCCACACTTAATCAGTAAACTCAACCGCCTATTTGTGTGGGGGTGGGATGAAGTTTAGGAGAATAGGTAAAATAGAATAATTCCTTTCTCATGTCCAAATTGTAAATTCTAATTATTACAGTAAGCTAAAGACGCAAATAAGTCCAATTCCAATTACCATTTCTTTTCTTTTTTTTGGAGACAGTCTTGCTCTGTCACCAGGCTGTAGTGCAGTGGCATGTTCAGCTCACTGCAACCTACCCCTCCCAGATTCAAGTGATTCTACTGCCTCAGCCTCCCCAGGTAGCTGGGATTACAGGTGTCAGCCATCATGCTCAGCTAATTTTTGTTTCATTGTTTTTTGAGATGGAGTCTCACTCTGCCACCTACACTGGAGTGCAGTAGCGAGATCTCAGGTAACTGCAACCTCCACCTCCTGGGTTCAAGCAATTCTCCTACCTCAGCATCCCGAGTAGCTGGGATTATAGGTTTGCACCACCATGCCCAGCTAACTTTTGTATTTTTAGTAGAGATGGGGTTTTGTCATGTTGACCAAGCTGTTCTTGAACTCCTGATGACCTCAAGTGATCTACCCACCTTGGCCTCCCAGACTGCTGGGATTACAGGCATGAGCCACTGCACCTGGCCTAATTTTTATATTTTTTGTATAGATGGGGTTTCACTGTGTTGGCGAGGCTGGTTTCAGAGTCACAACCTCAGGTAATCCACCATCTTTCATGAGCCAAACTGCTGGGATTACAGAAAATAGTAAGAAAGTCATGAGGACTATAATGCATGAAAGGTGACTTTGCTGGCTTTTCGCTCACCTTCTCTATTCCTCTACAGGGTTTCGGCATGTTGGCCAGGCTGGTCTCAAACTCCTGACCTCAAGTGATCTGCCCACCTCGGCCTCCCAAAATTACAGGCGTGAGCCACCACACCTGGCCTCAAATTGCCATTCACCATCTGCACTGCTATCACATATCTACAGCAGGGTAATATGCTAAAATTTTTAAATAGATAATTGTACATTTAAAATACATTAAAAGTATCTAGTTTCAGCACACTTAAAAAATAATTAGACTTTGATATAATTTGTTTTTGTATTTTGTTTCATTTGGACCTGTGAAAAAGAATTGTTCTTTACCTCTCATCTGATACTTACATAATTTCAGGTTTATTACATCTTCTCTATCCAAGCAATATAATCCAATTGAGCAACTGCATTTTCCCATAAGCCCTCTGACTCCTTTCTTCCACACTCTTTCCTGATTTTCTAGCTCCAGAAGCTATGTATTCATAAACTAGCCAAGTGAGGTAAATCAACACATAACTTTTACAGAAGTATTTCTTTTGTTAGGACAGTTCTATGTGCAGGGGCAGAATGGCTTCAAGACTGTTAGATGTAATATCCGGCTAACATAGTCCAGAACTATCCTTGGTTCTGTTTTTGCTATTTTGCTAACTAAAACAAACAGAAAACGTGAGAAAGTCACGGGGACTATAATGCATCAAGGGTGGCTCTGCTGGCTTTTCTCTCACTTTCTCTACTAGGGTATCTGCATCTGATATGCCAAGCTTGATTTTCTTATTGCAAACTTGACAAATACACATGACTTTATGATGTAAAAAAATACCATGACCAAACAAAGGCATTTACAGTGAGTTCAAAGCATTGTACACATGTTGAATAATCATTCCCTACACAGCCCCTTGTACGCCAGGCGGAGTAGCACAAAACTAATTATTCTTCCCTTCCTCTTTTTCCTAGTCGAGGAATGTAAGCAGCTTAGGGGAGATCAAGCAATATCACTTAGGGGTGTGTGGTGATACTCTCCATGAATTCGATCTCTGTTTCAAATAGGTGCTAGCTATCATGAACAAAGTAAATGTGACAAAGTACACAAAGCATACCAAGACATACTCCACCTATAAGATGCCACCCAAATATTGAGTTTAAATGAACCCTTGCAGCTGCTCCATGAGAGTATCCAATTCATTTGTTCACTTAACAAATATTTATGAAGCTGACAAGCAATGTGCCAAAATTGGTTTATCCTCAGAAAGCTTCCTAGATCAAATGAAATGTTAAATTTCATTCTCAGTATAAAACCAAAGATTAGAGATGGGGGACGGAGAGGCAAAGTGAAGAGGATGTGCAAGTGAACTGGGAACAAGCAAATTTTTACATAAATTAGACCATCTTCATTTCTAGATTTTCTAAGTGGTATCATGTGTTGGTGACCTGAAATACTGGTTGTTTTATAAAATGGCTGAAATGGTTGATTAGAGGAGGGATGTAAAGGGCCAAAGGTCACCATACATGGAATAGAGGAAATTAAAAATGTAACTCTGAAATCATTTCTCCAACTAAAAAGCAAGCAGTATAATCAAGTAAGCTTGTTCCTAAAAAGAGTGATATTTACAGAGAGAAAATGGAAACCGGCACACATTTATTAAATGTCTACTAAATGCCCAGGCCAGTGCCCAGCCTGCTGAAAGTAGCAAAACTAGGATCACCAATTGTAAAGATGAGAAACAAACCAATTACTATGAGATAGGTTCTCTTAAAAAGAATCTTAAAAGGGTATTTGTTTGATGATTTATACTAGATGTTCAAAAACAATTATATGCATTTTTTCTAAAGAAAAAATGTTTCTACTGGTTAAAAAACTGTGAGCTAAAAATTCCATGCTTTACTGTGAAAGGTTACTTTAAAAAACCCATAATTACTTACCTGCCCAACTCTCCCCGGATGTTTCAAGGCCAAGCCTCCACTGGAGACAGCAGCAGCAACATTCCCTTCGTGGTCCACAACCACAGCGCCCACCGTGTCCAAAGTGCCTGAGTCATTTTCCTGCAGAGCAAAAGTGGCACAAGTATTCACTCGGCATGGCGTGGGACAATCTGATATGACTACATAGCATTTTTCTGTATAATCATGACAAGACAAAATCTAAACTAATCTTTAAGCGGAACATTGAGCAATCTCCTAAAATTATCTATTATCAAGTTGCCACTTAAATTCTATTTAAATCCAAATGTATTTTCCACCAAAAATTCCAAACAAAAGGTGTCCTGCTGCTTTTCTCTAATAACAAGGTTATAGCATCTTTTTAATGAAGGAAATATCACAATTTAATATAAATTTCAGTATACAACAGTGTTTCTTCATTCTCAAGAATTAAGTTCATGTTTGAGAATGTGTAGAGGAAAAGATCTGTGGCATAAATGAGCCAATAAATACCCTTGTTAGTATATCTCTAAGTATTCTATACAAGCATCTAATAAAAATACAATCCACACAATAAATGAATAAAATGGCATTTACAATCTTGACATATACCACACTGTCATTTTTCTCTTACAACTCTTTGTTTGTGAGAAACATTTTGGCAAGTTCCCCTCTCTCCTATATCAGTAATATGCTTGCCAATTGTATGGCAGAAAAGTGTTCTTAGAAAGCATCTTTGTGTTTTGATGTTTTGTCCCAGGTCTGACATGTTTAAAGCACTTAGTGACATTAGTGATTATGAGCAGCTGTCTCCTACTTCCAAAGTTTCTGGGTCACCTGTGCAAGAGAGACAAATACTACACTACTGGATAGAAATAATGACTAAGGGAGGCAAGAAAAAAAAACATAGGAAAAAAGTCTTATATATTAAAAAGAAGGGTCCTGCTCACAATACTGAACAGGACTTGGTTGGTACTGAGGGATCTCTAACAAGCAAAATGACACACTAAGGCCATCACCAGAAAAGTCAATGAGTTCCTGGGGCCATCTCAGAAGCTGAGCAACATTGAAGAGTTTCTAAATATTGGAAGCAGAATTCAAACAAGAGATTTTTCCCTAAAGCAAACTGGAAAACTCAGAAGTAGAGTGTGCCACAACAAAATTTTACATCAGGTCTGTTAGGAAAAGGTATTTACATCTAGAATTTATATTTTTTGTTCTAAATTCTAACTTCCCTTAAGTATATTGATACACTATGACAGTACTTACTTTGACAGGAAATGTTTAACTGGCTGAAATGAATGCTATATTACTAAGCCCTCTTTTAACCACAGCTGGAGAAAGTCTAGCCAATGAATCCACATGGTCATATCTCAGAATGCCATAGTTCTGCTCAAGGCAGATGCCTTCAAGAATACTTCCTAGCCTGACCATAAACTCCTTGAGGAAAGGCTTGATCCATTCCACATCACCCTGAATGCAACAGACACTCAGGACATACTTATTTTTTAATTAAGATACAGGATATCTGTAACCCTGGTGTTACAAAACATGTCCAATAGTGAATAACATGCCATGCCATTCCAATGTCAGGGCCAGTTTTCTATCTCCATTTCACAAGCTTTGACCTCACGCAAATCCACATGCTGTCGCTATCTTAGGGAAGACTTAACAATAGCCAGACTTGTTCATTCAGGTTGGACAAAGCAAAGTTTATCTTCTCTGGTAAGTAAGATTAAGAAGAGCACTATAGAAATGTATTAAAGATATTTTACTACAGAAAAGATGGGTAATCTTAAAGAGAAATATAGTTTTAAGGGGAATATTTGTTTTATAATTCTAATAAATAGTTTCTAAATCTGTATATCCTTGCAATCTCGGGTACAGAAGTGTTAGTTCCCCAGATGGCAAGTTTGATGTCTTCTTTAGGAAGGCTTCTCAAATTTTAATGTGCACACAAATCATCAGGAGAACTTGTTTAAATGCAAATTCTGATGGAAGAATCTGGAAACTATCCAAGGCTATACATCTAACAATCTTCCACATTATGCTGATGATGTAACAGCATCCCACCCCAGGGCATCATTATCCACCAAATACCTGCTCCATTCATTCTGAAGCAAAGTACTTAGAGGCACACAACTGCTGAAGGAGAAACTTAAAACTACCTACAGCTAACATTATACCAGTATAAAAGATTTAAGTTCTATCTTGCTTAACTATCAACTGACAGCATATCACCACTATTATAATACATGGATTTGGTATGTATATTTTAAAATACTGATCTTTCACTTTAAAAAACAAACAAATCTTATACAAATAAATGAACTGTAAAGTAACTTTCCTCAACAATAACAAAAAAGTCAAGAAAGGGTATTCTTTTAAGATTTTTTTTTTTTTTGAGATGGAGTTTCACTCATATTACCCAGGCTGGAGTGCAATGGCGCGATCTCGGCTCACCGCAACCTCCACCTCCTGGGTTCAGGCAATTCTCCTGCCTCAGCCTCCTGAGTAGCTGGGATTACAGGCACGCACCACCATGCCCAGCTAATTTTTTGTATTTTTAGTAGAGACGGGGTTTCACCATGTTGACCAGGATGGTCTCGATCTCTTGACCTCGTGATCCACCCGCCTTTGCCTCCCAAAGTGCTGGGATTACAGGCTTGAGCCACCGCGCCCGGCCAAGATTATTTTTTGAAATACTGAGTGTTTATTGAGAGACATATGCCAGTACTTTTTGCCTTTATTCTTTGTTATAAAATTCTGGAAATTTTTACATACTTTTTCCCCTAGCCCTAGTAAGGCATAATGTAAAGTTATTGTCTTCATTAGGCCTACCAGATAAGGAAAATTGCTTCTGGTAAATAATCAAATTGTGACTCTTATCCTATTTTACCGTCGAAACTTTGAGGGAAAGGTATGTCTCTTTTTTACATTTTTGTTATTTTAATTAATAAAGATTATATATATTATGGTAGTAGCATGATGTTTTGATACAGGCATAAATTGTAGAATGGCAAAAATCAAGCTAATTAGTGTATACATTACCTCACATAATCATTTATTTCTGGTGAGAATGCTTACAATCTACTCTCTTAAGGGTATTTTTCATTAGCTCTTTTTTACAAACTGCAACTGCTGCTGCTACTCAAGCATTCTGTAAAATAGAATTTTATAGAGGGGACACACAGTGATATGCATTCTCTGTGAAGCAATTTTCCTAACATTTCAATCAGGATATTGTGAATCATGAGAACTTTTACGCCTAACCAAACTCCTATAGAAAAATACAAAAACTGATGTCAGTATATCTGGACTATACATAGATGGATTTACTGTTTCTTGGTTTTCAAAAATGAAAAATCATGAAAAAAAAAATAGAGAAAGCTGTTCCAAATTAAGTTAAATATTCCTAAGAGCCTGTAACACCTGAAAAAAAATCAGGATTACTTCATAAATATTCAATAATTAGTTCATAGACTTCACATACTGCAAAGCAAATTTAAGGATGATGAAGTAATATTTAAGCATTTTTATGACGTGCAGATAAATTAGGTGAAAGATAAACATTGGTATTTTGGCCATAATACTTTCATAGAGCTCATTTGTACAGGAATGAAATCTTAGAAAGGTTAAAAAGCATACAATGAATGTTACTATATAGAGCTACTATTACACTTTTACACTCTATAAATACTTGAAAATATGTGTACTACACGCATACATATATACTTATTGTCCTTGACTAAAATATGTTATTTGTATTACTTTTTTGATAAAATTATAACTAAAAAGCAACTGTATAAAACCATAGTCCTCTTCAAAATAAGCATGTATATAAACTTAGCATAGAGGTTACATGTGTTAAAGAAAACACTGAAATAAAACTTTCTTGAAGTAAGCAATAAATTAGTAACCCCTGTTTACTCTGTCCCAAATTAGAGATGGTTATTATATAGTTATTATAAGAATTAAGTAACATATGTAAACTACTTTAAAAGGAATAAATCCCTTAATACAAAGTTAAGGCACTTCCCACCAGAAAATTAAGCCTCTAATCTGTACTCTTTGAAATCTGCTAAGAGACATCATCTCTCAGTCTTTTTTTTTTTTTTTCCCATTTATTTATTTTATTGCATTTTAGGTT